TTGGAACCAGTGACTACATCGTCAGAAGGCCAACTGGGAGACATTATGGTCTGTATACTTTGTTGCAATTGCTTCAAACAAGGTTTCACACTTTTTACCTATTTCAGAAATATAAAAACAACGATATTAATTATTAGGATTGCATACAATATTTTCCATAAGATGTAATACTGATAACTGCATTCTTACCTGTCCTGCCATAAGGTAATGACAGACTTGAAGAACTAAAAAGTATACTTTCAAGTATTCTTTTTGATGTGGACTACCCTGCCAATTCTCTACATGATGGCCTGCTGAATTTAGAAGAGGAAGAACTTCTGAGAATTTTTTATCTATTAATAAAAGCATACATCGACTCAAAAGAAAGAGAACTCTAGTGTAACTGGCATTGCTTATGTGGGAATAATCAACACCCACTGCAAGCAGACTACTCGCTGCAACAAAGTCCTTCTCTGAGGCGTGTATTTGCTGTAAGTTCATAAATTACAATAAAAATACAATTTTCAAAGATGTAAAAGCACTTCCTTCATTAAACTTACTGCGAGTTGAAAGATAAGCCTGCAATGCCAGTAAACATTGTGCTGAGACAGTTCTATCGCCTTCCTCAATATGGGTTTACTCAGATTTGGCTGTTGCTGTTGCTCGTACAGTTCTGCGACCACGCTAGCTGCTTCAAACTTCACATCGTCGAACGTATTTATATTCTGACTCAGCCGCCACTAATGAGAATAATCACAAGTTATTAATCATACGAGATAATAGCGTAACTAATATGCACTAATCAACGTGTAATTGATCCAACATTTAAAATTATATTATTTGTTATTGACAGCGTGGAATGAGGTTAGAACGCAAAGAAAGGCAATATACGAGGAATTACGCAAATTATAAAAGAACAGAACAAAGATGGACATAATTAACTTCGTTGATTTCAATAAACGAGTAAACAAAAACAGCAACTGACCGCTTGTTCTAAATGGGATCGCGCCAAATCGATGTTTTTCGTGTGCGTGAGAAGGATGTTGCCGAGCTGAAGATGAGTGCGCGCCTCGACGCGCGGCGGCGGCTTGAAGTGGAAAACCGCCTGCAGACACTGGATGCACGATTTGATGTTCGGCGGATTCGACGTGCGAAAATTCTCGGCCAAACCTAGCAACGACAGATACCAAGCGTCCTGAGATGACGCCATTTTGACATTTCACGCACGGCGGACGAATCCCCACTGTCGCCGTCCGCTCGGCCGTTTTGTCGGTGACGCCAGATTTGAGACGCAAGCAGCAAGCAGCTGGTGGGAGGAAAAACCGCACACATGCACAAGTCACGTATATCTGATTGTGAGCTCCGCGCTTCGGCTAGCTTTTGAAGATATCCTAAAAACGTCCTAAACAAGACATCTCTAGGACGTCCTGAGAATCGTTTTTCAATTTCTTTAACAATTGACATTCTGAATTTTCCAACAAAAAACTTTCCAAAAATTTTAAGAGATGTTTTAATTATATAAGTGTTTTGCGAGCATCCTAACCTGTCAAAAGTTCAGAAGCGAAAATATCTATGTAGAAAAATTAAGATTATCCACTGGAAAGGCCAGAAACGCGCGCTCCATTTTAGCTGGAATTTTAAGAATGACAGGAAAACATGATGAGCTCGTCGATAGTGCCATTTTTTGATCAGTTATTACAATGACGAGAGCACTTACCATCGGTACACTTACCATCAGCACACTTACAATCAGTGGTTTCATCATGTTGCAACGGCTTGCGCATGTGTGCGGTATTCCCTCCCTCACGCTGCTTGCTGCTTGTGCGTCTCAGATCTGGCGTTACTGCTGCTTGTCCGGCACGCATGCGCCATACCTACCGCGCTTTTCTCGCATTGTTTATGCAACTGCGCATCCTTTCAAAAATCTTATTCATATCACTGAGCAAGCGTTTTCTGCGATTTTCTCGCTCGCTACGTGTAACAATTAACTCGCTTTAACACATAAATATGAATTTTATGTTAGATAAAATCGGATTTTCATTGAAAGACGAATAAAACTGAATACGCCGTCTTTCGCCTATCCTTCGCAGATCTCGATATAAATTTTCTTTATACTTTTTCATAAAGATATAGTTTTTAGAACTTGGTCTATTCTTTGGTAGTTTTTCACCAAGAGACACAAGCAACACAAAAGTATTATTCTCTCTGTTGCTCATTGAATATCGAACAAAGACAGAGTGATACTTGTGTCGATTTGTGTCAACTTGTGTCCTTTGCTGGAAAACAACCTTTATTAGTAAACTGTGTACAGGTGTTAGAAGTATGTAATAACTATATCATAATAAAAAACACAATGTATAAAAAATTAAACGTATCTTATACTTATATTTGCACGCAGTCACTAAAAGGATGCAATATTTCTATCTTTTCCCGATTGAACAAATTTCACATTATGCGTAACATATGAGACGACACTTTTCTACGTTCCAATGTGGGATAATATATCCCCACCAGGTGTCAGTTAATACCGACTTCCCGGCTAGCTGACCACCAGTCGTCAGTTTCGAATCACGCGAGATCAAACGCGCTCACTGATTTCTCTTTCTTTTTTTTCTTTTTCAATTGTGTATCGCGATGTCCTACCGTTGGTGCGCGCTTTTCTTTTGTTTGCTGGCGGTTTTTCCGCCGCGCGGAAGTCATTGCGCCGCAAATGTCACCGATGTCGCGGAACAAACGCAGGCGGAGAACGCGTTGGCGAAGCTGGTGAAAATGTTCTCCAAACCGGGCGCGTTCAAGCGGGTAAGCCTGAGGTGTTAAACTGTAATTTGCAATTAGTTTTTATACTGTAATCCCCTAAATCTATCGAATTGAAAGACCGATATCCTTAAAATCTATATATATTAAACTTCGCAAGTATTTGTTTCGCTGCATCATCGCATCGCTGCAATAAATATCTGTTATTAGAATTCCAAAGCTCTGCATTCCGTAAAAAAAAAAAATTAAAATACCTCAAGTTTTGAGCCTGATATTTCACGTGTTAAAGTTTCACGATAATGATTATTCGCAATTATTTTTCGCAAAGTGAATATATCGATTCGAGGTGTGTCGAAGAATGTTGCTGCGCAAGGCGAGGTTTATTTTGAACTACTTTTCTTTTTTTAATTTTTCTGTTAATTTATTATTCGCTTCGTTTCACTCGTGATGCAATTATCACCGAAGAAATAGGCTACGCGTGCAGCCGTACGCGAAAAGTGTCATCAGTGCCTCGCACAAACAAATCCCATCATGAAAGTTATTATATATGTGTATATAATATAGCACACTCCTCGCCAAGCGCATTCTTTTCTAATTCTTCGACCGTACTTATATTTTATAATGAATTTCAAACACAAACTTTGCGCCCGTAGAATTTTACGCCGCTCCGCGCGCCGTGTAACACTTTTTATCGATAAAAAGATCAAGTCGCATTTTAAAAAGCGACATTAATACTCCGTAAAAAATCATGCCACTAGCACGGTAAAGGATAAGAGAATTCTCCTGGCATTTGCGAATTAATTAATGGTTAATTGATCGTGGCGAAATGAGGGGGGAGGGGAGGGAGGGTTTCGAAACAACGGCGAGTGCTCGCCGCGGAATTTCACGGTGAAATAGTGATCTAATGACGAAATACTTTCAGATCGACGCGATACTCGGCGAGAACACGATAGAGGCATCGTTCACGAGCTGTCCCATGGGCGAGGAGGGCCTGGAGTGCCGAAGGGCCGAGGCCCGCAGATCGGCCGACTGTCCGCGAGGTAAATCGTCGCGAGCCACCGCAGGCTGGGAGCGTGCATATGACCGCATTGCGATCCACATACGATACCGTTAGCAGAGGCTTCCTCGCTATTACGAAAAACATCGCTATTCGCTCTTTGACAATAGAGATCCTGACCTTGACAATAGCCGCTCCCAGATGGCTATGCTCGCCGACGCAGCGTTAATGTCGCAATGCGAGCGCGGCGTTAATGCGCCTCCCGCTTTGCGTCCCGATGACTGCGCACGGAAAAAAAAAATGTTAGAAACACCACCTGTAAAACTGTTTTAAAAATTGAGGTAAATTAGAAGCGCGCGTGCGGTGGAGCTCGCGATTCAACGCGATAATCTAACAACTTCGGAATGACGCGATTGCATTCGGTATCGCGGAGCGATCTTTCGTCGAGTGAAGAGAATTCGCAATAATATCCGCGCGAAAGATCACGATCGCCTTTACGTTAGAGACGCGCAGGTGCGCATACGACATATGCAGGACGCGACGATACGAAATACACGACGGATAAGAGAAAGTAAGAGCACCGAGAGGCGAATCTCGTTCGATTTCTAACTATATATCGCTGATATTGAATTCCAGTATTCCGAAAAAAAAAAAAAAAGAACGTCAAGAAAATGCGGTTGCGCGCACATACGTATTGATTGAAACGCGAAAAGGAAAATATCGCCGGTGTTGTGAATCGCCTTCCTTTTTATATGAATTTCATTGCAGGAGACTGTTTCTGTTACGATTGCGCCGCCGCCGGAGCTGATTTATGGGCCTCCTGTTGCCGTGAAAGCTTGAGATGCTGCTCTCACCTCGCGGCAGCTTGCAGGACATGCGACCAGCCGACGCTGTATCCCTTCTGCGCGAAGCACTTCAAGAAATGCTTGGCTCAGTACAACGAGAAAAAGCAGAATTAGCGGCCGCGCATCTTCGGGATCTTCGGCGGCGTCTCACAATCTGTGATAGATCGATTTTATCATGACGATCATCGACGATCTTGCGGCACTCGACTCGCCTTCTTCGCGATCCAATTGTTACAATTTCGTCGTATTTACGCGGAGCGAAAGCTATCAGCCAAAAAGGACGCGAGACACTTAACTTAATCGTGTTAGCAATTGCGCAATCAAAGTACGCCGTGCATTTCTAAATATAGCGTTTATCTACAAAGTCGTTGAACTGGTCCTGCCTGATTATTTCTGATCGCAATTTCATCGGAACGAATACTTTAGATATTCCGCGATGGAGATTTATACACTTGAACTTCGGCAGCGTGCATTAAATGAGAAATTTACAGGATGGACATTTATACATTGCGGAATAATATTATTTGTAAAACAAAACGATTTTTTTTATAAAAAGAAATAAAATTGTTTTGTTTTTTCGCACATAAGAGGATTGCTGAAAATCAGATTTGTGAAATTCGGTTTAGAATTACTGCGCATTACGGAAGATTTTTTTCTGTGAATTTTTATTTATCCGATAGTTTCGGAAAAATAATGATGCAACGTAAGCAGAAAGAATGTAAAAAATTTTTAGATTTATGAATCTAAAATATAAATTAAGATATAGGTACATAAATCAGTGAACTCATATATCTGTACACTCGTGAATTTGCGAATACATAGTTTTGTACACAGTACAGCATGGATCAACATTTTATTCTTTGATTTTTGGCAAGACACTCGAATAATTAGATAACTATAATGAAACACACAAAATTTCGAATTTCGTCGATAAACGTAGATTAATTACCAATATTACTAACGCAAGTCTCTCGCAGATATGAATTAATCAAAAAAAAAAGAAAAAGAGAGAACGATTACAAAAGATAAATAAACATCACCTTTTAATACAATCATTGGTAAGCTTTATTCGTATAGTTTCCAGAGTATTCGGTAATCGGTATTTATCCATTAATTCTATAAATCGTGGGGGACAGAGCTTTTCGTTCGAACAGACGTTTCCACGATCAGTCTACGAATTTTCGCGACGACTTTACGACGAAATGAAAAATGTGCGCACATCACGCAGTCTTTGACGGTTTGATCTAACATTCGTAAACGTAAAACATTCGTGTCCCCGTGAAACGCGCGGCCAAGGTGCGGCTCGTATTCTTTTTTTTTTTTCTTTCTTTCATTCTGCAAACGCCTTAGAATTCTAGTTCTGCTAAATATTCCTCGTGTCCGTCGTGTAGCGAAAAGTTCCTTTTAGGATATAAAATTCTCTCGCACTTGGAAGTGCATAATTGCTAACAGCACCACACAGAGGTTAAAGACGAGACTAGAAAAGAAGAATAAAAAGAAACATGTCGATTCTTCTTTCGAATGAGAAACGAGACGCGGTTGATTGATTTACGGACGATGACGATGATGATTTGCTCTATCGATTTTAATAAATTCCAAGAGACACACATCAGGCATAATTTTCGCGTCGTTAGAGAGAATTTTATAAAGAAAGTATATCCTTCGTTTATACATCGCAGAACAAACTAAAATTCAAATTCCGATACTCATTCCTCCCGTTTGTTTAACGTAGCAAGCGATTGCGAAAGAACTTATTTTCAAACCGTCTTAAGAGAAAGATTTAACAAGAGGTGAATCTTCAATTTTCAAACTTAAATTAAATGTTTCCCGGAAATATTTATTTCCATTGATTCCAACACAGCGGGTATATTTTTGAGTATTGAATATCGCTAATCAACATAAACCAAATGTTTTTACACTTATATATTAAAGTGTTCTCAACTCTAGAATGTACTACTCAGTCTAATAAAATAGAAAATACGACTAATAGCAATGTTGAGCAAAAATGTAAGTGTAATAACAATTTCACTTGTCTGCACTTGTAATTGAATATTTGTTATTCAATAGGAATTACACTTTTTGCCCAACATTGATCAATAGAATCTCAAAAATGTCAAAATTTTAGAGATCTGAAGAAATGATACAGAAACTATTTTAAAAGTAAAAATAATTAAATCAATAAAAAATTGAACATTATACAATAATAATATTTCCTTATATACACTTATAAAATTAATTTCCACCTTGTTTTTTTTTTTTAAATAACTTAAAAAGAATTCAGAGTAGTATGCAGATTAATTGCAAAAAATAATTTTGTTGCATTTATCTAAAATGCTTACAATTTGCAATATAGTACAATACCCCTCAAAAGTTAAATCATCAATTTTGTTTTTAATTAATATTAACTTTTAGAAAGTTTTTTTCAACTGTTTTTATCGTTTTCTTATATTTAAGACAGCTTGGAAATATATTCTTCAATTGTCAAAATTATACAAAATATTGCTCGATTCTCTCAGGGAAGTACGTTCAAGCTTCTAAGGGTTATATTCTCTCCTCTTTCACGTTGTCATTCTACTTTGCTCTCGGAGTTCAGCTTAAGATAACGACGACGACGGTAGTGCCCCGATGATGGTAATCAGTTGACATATTATTCTCTTACACAAAAAACACAGATCTTGATCTATTATGCGATCGTAGACTTATTATGGTGTACATGTATATCAAGTACGAGTTCAAAATCTATCACGTAGTACAAAGAGAGATGATTATGCGCTATTTTAGTTTATTAAGTTGTATCATATACCAAGAAATATCAAGACTATAGTACTATATATTTAATTGATTCGGAAATGTATGACCAAGATCGGTTTAGCCCAGAATCAATGAAATCAGACTATTTAGTGGACGAGGGGGGAGGGGAAACTGGTAATTAATAGTATTTGCTGGGGACAAGTGCCGGATATTTTTAACTCGTTCAAGTGCAGACTTATAGAGGACGTCGTAAAAATCCGGCGGTCGCCGTGTTTGTAACAATTCGCAAAGAGTCTCGATTACGTATCTCCTCTAGTAAGTTTCTTTAAATACTTTTACATCGAAAATGTGACATGAAATCAATCGCGCTGCGTCAACCCCCCCAGAAAACCCCGATTCTCGATTACTATTCGCGTGAATTCCCAAACTTCATCGTCCCGGTTAAGTCGTGTGTATCGCCCCGCCCGAGCGCGCATCCTGTGTGGCACATGACTTAACGTGCGACTTGACACCGTGCAAGGAAATCGAATATTTGTGCGCGAATGACACTCGTGTCACTCCCCATCAGAAACTCGCCTATGCATACTCCTCCATGTCTCGAGAGAGAGAAAAAAGATTGCTATACACTTCACATGTGCAGGCTTGTTATCACTCACACGCGCTTTCTTACAAAGATCATCTTTTTTTTTTTTCCTCTTACGTAGCTACAGCACTATTTTGCGTTAAACTCGTCTTAAAAATACAGTTCGGAGAAAATAAAGAGATATACACATAGTACAGGTACTGCCGATGGTCGCAAAACTCGTTAAAACCAACGGCAAAAACGACTTAACGTCTAAGGGCCTAGAAAGATCCTTTCCATCAACTTCGTTACACTCGTGCTACATTCGTGCCTCCTCTCCCGCAATTACCCCTACTTATTGTTAGCCATCTCATTCGTAGTCACTTTACACTTATTATTGGTTTACTTAGTGCCTTGAAAATGTCTATTTGGTTCTTTATATCATATTGCATGACAGAGCTGTCTAACACGCGACATCACGCGAACGTGCGAGAAATCACATTTTGCAAATATGTTAATCATAATAAATACGTTAATTATATTAAGAGAGACACAAAACAAGAGAAATATATGGCAGATTCACAAACGAACAAACTTTATGAACAACGTTTGTCACGTTACAATAACAAAAAAAAAGCAGAAAAAAATATATGACGAGGGGAAAAAAAAATGTTACGATACGATCGAGTGAACGAAATGAAAACGCTTGTGCAAGTTAGACAGTTCTGTAATAAATTTCAAGCGATTGCATTCAATAATACGCTTGTCGATACGTTTAAATATTAATGATTTATGTTAATCAGTTGTTCAGTGGGCAACATTAACGACAAATAATAGAAATATTGAAAAAGAAAGAAAATAAACAATTCCGATCCTGAAAAGTTTTCTAGGTCTCCGCTAAAAATAATCAATGAACCACTTAGTCGCGACAACTGGTATCCGAACTCGTGGATACGTTAAAGCGTGTCTCAGTGACGGAAATAAAACCTTGACCCTTCAGATAACAATAAAGTCATAAACATACACGTCAATTGACATATTCACAACGATTAAGCATTCTTTATACAATACTAACGAATGTTCATATTTCCAACTTATCAAAGTTGAGCTTTACCTTAATGCTGCGATTGGCATACCGTAACGTTCGGCCGCACAGAATCCATAACCAACTGCACACTTTACTAGGTTCCTTCTTTCCCCCGTTAGTCCTCTGTCTTCCGTTACACACGTCACCAAGTTATTCGCATTTACTGTTGCGTCGTCCTTTAAACGCGTCCGGTTACGTTTTCCAATTGTGCGGATGAGCCCTCGGTGGTGCTTGATTGTTTTGCGCTTGAGACGCTTGCGACGGGATCATGTCGAGCAGATACTGACGCTGAATGTCCGCCGCCTGTCGTTGTAACTCTACAAGGCCTTTACTGCCAGCAGCCTGCGCCATTGCTAATTGATAGGGGTACAGTATCGAGGTAAAGTGCGGCATCATGTGAGCGGGAAGAGGTTGATGCGGCGGTAAACCGGGCACTGGATTCTTTGCCAATTCTGAAACAATAACGCGAAGAGAAGAGGTTAGTTTTTGCAGCATGTATATTTTTCCGCTGCAATATTACAATTTTCTCATATCAAGTATTAATTGTCCATCATAATACCTTTGCTAATATATTTAATTATCGGTACAAAAGCATTAAATTTTTAATTGCTATTTAGATAGTTGGAAAATTTTCTATTCAATTTTTCTGTCAGTTGATTCGGCGATAAAGACAATTTGTTAAAGATTTAAAATACCTCTGAGCAATTGTTGTTGCAAGGCTGCTGCAGCAGCTGCGTGCGGGCTAAATTTCCCGCTTTCAGCCAGTTTCATCAAGGGATGCTCTTGCAACTTTGGCGCTGGCGGTGTCGGCGTACACGTGGGTGCCGGCGGTACCTGCGGTGGCGGCGCAGGCGGCGTGGCTACTCTTCTTGTAGGAGTGGCTGCTTTAGGAACTGGTTTCGGAGCTGGAGGATCAGGACTTGGACATGCCGTCTGCGCTAACCTTTGCTCTATCTCTTGCTCCTGTTGTAGTGCTTTCACGAAAGCAGTTTTTAATCTGTAAACCCATTTATAATCGCACTCATTAGAAAGATAACATTTTTCTATAAAATTGGACGATCTTTTATTCAGTCCTCTCTGTACGTAATGTTTAGTTTAGCAACGGGTTCGGCAAATAAGATGTTACTACTATTCTTACACTATTAAGATTTTAATGTGGACAGAAAAAAAACGTACCGATTAGTGTGCTCTGCTTTCAAAGCCTTTTTCACATTAGTCGTCACGCAGTGCTCACATATAACACGTGGATCACGACCTGCTGATGGCCGCTGGAAGGTTGCATGCTGCCCCCTGGGACTGTCCTTTTTACCACCAGGCATGGGTTTCTCCCACTTCCATACAGGAGTGAAATCTGTTTTGCACTGTGAGCACTCGAACGGTTCAGGAGGTGGCGGTATGGCTGGTTCCTTCGTTATGAAATCAACCACGTGTTCCAAACCGACCAAATATATGAATTCCGTATTGGAAGGATTCGGCACAAAATGCATCTCCGGAGGCGGTGGTTTCGGTGGTGGTATTTGCAGTAATGTCTTTTCGAGCTGCTTTCTTAAGGCCATCTTGGCAGCTGCTTGACGTTGAGCAGGTGTTTCCTCTCCTCGTGAGCTTCTCTCCTACGTTATCAAAAAATACATTTCAAATGATATAATAAACTTCACTACACAGCTAATCTTCTAATGACACAGAAGACAAACATTTTTAAACAAATAAAAAAGAAGTACAAAATAAAAGCTGTACTCGAATAGAATTTAGATTTCGATAATTTTTAGTATTTAGGTGTATTGAAATAGAGACTGCGTTAGTGAAGACTTAGCAATATGTTAACTTGTACTATGCAGTAGACTTAAATAATACACTATTACTGTCCTATTCACTATTAAAATAAAGGATCTTTAAAAATAAAAAGCGTAGACAAAAAAATGAAGCTTAATTAAATGAAGCTTGAACATCACATAATGCAGAATAATGAAAATAATAAAAAAGAAAACAGATGAATATTCGAGAGAGTACACAGACGAAAAGGCATTACACATTGATCGACGAATGAATATACCTGTTCTGAATTCACAGGTGTGCTTAAGGATGCGGTGGTTTTATTTTCTTGCGCTCCAGCAAGCAGCTTTGTGTTTAGAAAAACACAACAATGAATTATATATGTTATTACGTAACTAAGGAATCATTTAACACTTTCACAGCCGATCAGCGACAATAGCTTGTGATATATTAGCGCAGTGAAAGTATTACCAAAATATCTTAAAATTATTCCATTAAAGAAAGAAAAAAAGATGCAACCTCAACAACCTGATATTTTCTGTGATCGCATGAACCAAAATTATGGAACTAAAACTTATAAATAGGAAGAGTAATAAAATTGGAGTTTCTATACCTTACTTACTTGGTGCGCCGGGGCTGGCGTCGGATCCTTCGTCGATCTCTCCGTTCTGTCCGTTGGTGCGTGATAACTCGACACAGTCGATGCCGTTACACTGGGCGGTCTCCCTCTGGGATGCGGTGGTTGCGGTATCACCATGTTCGGAGGCATACCCGTACTTGAAATGGCATTACGACCGGGTGTGGGAGGCAGCACCAGTCCAGGTGGCGGAGCGTGTATACTACTTCTGCTCGGTGCGGGCTGGCCTCTAAGTAAAGGCGGCGGCGCTTTTCCTGTTCTGTGATTTGGAGAAAAAAAACATTTACTTTTCGACTTAAGAGATAGAAAATTACAATGAAAAACAATATTGTCGCAAAATCTTACCTATGGGGCACCTGCTGCACCGTTACAGGTGGCGGTAGTTTACTTGGAACCTTCGGCACTGCTGCAATATTCTCTTTCAGCTGTTGAGATTGGCGTAATTTCTTCAAGAGCACCAATTTCATTTCCTCCGACTTGAGCTCTTCCTTGTACTTTCTGAGCGTTCTTTCGCGTTCAGCCAACTCGTCGGATGATAATTCCTTGATTGGCAGCAACGGTGGCATGTCACCTGTTTGGATCGCACATTCAACATTAATGAAATACAAGGCAACACTTAAGTGAAACTTGATAAATTATTCTCTACTCTTTAGCATTGAAGTAATCAAAATTTAGAACAACCTTCATCACTGTCCGATGCATTTCCATTTAGATATCCGTTCAAACGGGGTTCATCCGGACTTTCGGCGTAGCTTCTCTCGATTCTAGGTCTGAGATTGCGACGCGGCTTGCGATCGTCCCCGTGTGATCGTTTAGGAGCCAAGATACCCCGTGCAGCATTTTGTATATTCCGAGCTTCTGGAATATTGTTCTCCAAATTCGAGCCAGTGGAGAAGATCCCCAAATCTAACGGGATGTCTCCAGTATTTACAGAAAGGGACGGGGAATTGCGTCTGCTGCTGAAAAAAAAAACACACAAAGAGGCATTAAAATATGCAACACAAATATTTATTGTCGCACAGTACATGTGTTCTAAGCAAAACCCCACTGCTTTTACAAGACTACAATTTTACTGTTTTAAGTATATTCGCATATGTCAAGAGTAGCAACAACCTACTTCTCCATCCATCCACAAAGTGATAACAACCTGATACTGATAAGAAACTCGCTTGGATAAAAGGCAGTATTATCACTAATTACCATTGTATAGCATTCTATTTTAAGTTTTAAAATTCAAAGTGAGGTCGCTACAGAACAATATCGCGCAAAATATACCGCTTCACTCGATGTTAATTTATATTTCAATTGACCACACGTGAAAGTTGAAGAATGAAATACGATAAACATCTGATGACAATCCTTACCTGATGCTCAAATCCACCACCGAATCTCCGTCCACATCCATGGCATCCATTCTTTTGGTCGCGGTCACTCTGCAATTATAAAACACGCGTGAAGCCGATCAACAGGCACGAATCTCATTTGGAATATTTTATGTGTGGTTCGAAAACACGCGCTACACACGAAAGCCACGACGATAATCCGTAACACGCTCGCACGCTCGCTCGCTCGCTCACTCCCGCAACACCACGGGCTTCGCGCGAAATACACAGAGATTATTCGCTCGCGTTAGCACGCAACTGGGTTACCGAATCTCTCCTATGCGCATTCTCGTACACGTTCGGCACCGCCGTGTGCCGCCGTCTCGGCGCGAACGACGCCCGGGGTCGTCGAGGGAGAGAATCCGGCGGCGCGCGACTTTATTATCGCGCGACGACGAGAGTCGCAGCGAATGCCACGCTCGAGCGACCAGCAGCGCGACGAAATCCCGTACGACGCGTAAAGCCGAGGAACATCCGTGACGTTAGACGACGCCACACTAGCGTGAAGGAGCGCCTGAGAAGGGGGGAGAGACGGAGGAAGCGAGACGGGCGGGCGATCGGCCAATACCTGCGGAAGTAACTGTCCTAACCTAACTTCTACGAAATTAAAGACAATCGGCGTAGCGTATCGAGGCGATTTCCAGAGAACGTACAACACACGCGGCTCCACGACGGGGACGTCGTCGGCGACGACGGCCACGTCGATACCCTTCGCACCGCCGGTCCCGTATCACTCGCGGTCGCGCGCTACTTTTTCGGCGGATCGCATCGATGCTCTCCGCAATTGAAGAATTAAATTTGATGCCTCGGAAGTGGCGTCCCGACACAATGGCAGCTAAGCGTAGCGGTACAAGACCCGTAGAGTAGGCAGGTCGGTCGAGAGGGGGGTCGGGCGAGCGGGGTAGAGGAGTACGGGAGGGGTAGGGACGAGGGATACATGGCGCGGGGAGAGGAATGGTCGCACATTAATTATTTCCCCTCTCACCCCTACTACGACCGCACGCTAGCCGCTCACCCACACGCGGCCGCATCGAGAACGGGCTAGAAACCAATTTCTCTCTTTCTTTCTTTCTCTCTCTCTCTCTCTCTATCTCTTTCGTTCGATCTCTCTCCGCTTGTTGGTCTATCGTGCTCCCGCGTGCACTCTCTCTGTTTCTCTCTCCTCCTCCTCCTCCTCCTCCTCCTTCTCCTCCTCCTCCTCCTCCTCGCACCTTACGAATTTTCCCGAATTTCGTGTCTCCGTACGTGTTTCCTCTCCCACTGCCGTCCTCCCGGTCGCTCGCGCGCCCTTATGCCCTACGGGAAATCGATTTTTCGACGGCAGGGTCCCCACTGCCGGCTGCAGCGACGACGGCGGCGGTGGCGGCGGTGACCGCTGCCGCCGGCACGGAGGGCTCGCGCGCGATGTTTTTCGGCGGGCCATCTCGCGCGCCGTATTTCACGCGAATGATACGGAGAAACCGTGCGTGACATCTGCGTGCCCGAGACGAAGCATCGCTTCTCGTTCTCTTATCGCATGCGAACGCAAGCGTATCGCAATAGGCATGGCATCCGCACAGGCAACCGCCGTCCGTCGCACGTGGATTCTTATATACAGCCATTAAACGCGTACGCTCGCGTAGTAGTTTCTCTCCTTAGATCTTTCTCCCGCTTTACCTCACACCCGCCGGCACGCGGCGTCACGTGACACGCCGTATATTCTCAGAGGTCTCTAAACTCTCTTTACGTGCAAGGATGTATGTAACTTCTCGCGGCGCAGCGCGAAGAGTTATGTCATTCCGCGCGCATAAACAAACTCCCGCCGGGAAATCGCCACCGCGGTCTTAACGACGCCAAGATTTACACGAGATTTCGATAGCGAGCGATAAGGTCCGCGGCTGATATTCGAGTCTGAAACTCGAAACGATATTCCGGCGGAAATCGGAAAGAGATCGCCGATTCGACGCCGATGAATCCAGATTTCGATGGACGAAAATAACCTCTGTGTTTATTTTACGCACAGCGGGCATCAAGATCTCGTTTCTCATTATGAATAATTAGAAAAATTAACGATAATGAATCACTGGATCAGTGTTACGCTTCAGCTGAGAGTTGTCTAATTAGGCATTCGAGAACGAGTAGCAGTTTCGTGCTTCTTGTTCGTTTCTCGCTCGCGTGACATCGTAAATTACATAGCTTCGTTCCAATAATGAAAAAATTGTATTACATCCCGAGAATTAACCCCGAGTTTACTACCTTGCATATCCTTGTATCTGAAAGACCAGTTTTATTACCTATCCCCGACATGCATTTTTCTATTCAACACGAAACCTACTCTCGCAACGAGCCAATTAGAGCCCGAGTATATACGGGTTTACGTGTGTGTAAATCTATCGCAGTTATCGCAACAAAATTAGAAAATCCGTAGGAATGTGCATGGCAAAGAGTATATGCAATTCTTTGAAAATCAAAATGACAAAAAAATTCCTACAAAGAAAAGTGACTGAAAGTTAATGATGATGATGTGTAAAAGGTCTTGTTTGTTCGATGTGAGGTCAAAGTTGAAAGATACCGAAATAAAATAGAAAGCATCGCAGGTAGTCAAGGGTGAAATATTTTTCGTGAAATACTTATAAATGGAAGAAGGATACTAAAGGCTAAACGAAGGCAGGTCAGAGTATTTGGATACCGTAAATTCAGCGAAGCAAACACAGCAAAATCTCATAAACGCCCATTTTGAGAAACACTACTACAATATTTCATTCAGTAAGAACTAGTTTAGTAAACTGCTGTGTTTATATGTGTATAATTCTTCAAATTAAGGTTTGAATGAACCTAATTTTAAATTTCTACAAGTCTAGATCAATTTGATAAGGAAAAATTTAAATAAATACTGATTAGATGACAAATTAGAATATTATTATTCGAATAATTTAATGATCAAGTTATCCGCTGTTTGCATATTGCTAAAAAAACATCGGTACAATTATGTACAATATTATTAATGATTGAGATTAACATCGTTAACGTGTGAAAAATAAAAAATATTTTTAACAATGCCAATTGTTAACAAATACATACAAAACATTTCCATTTCTAAGCCAAAGCTTGTTTATAAAGTAATTGAATGCGAAATAAATTTCTCCCCATTATTTATTACAAATTAGAAACAATAAATTAAATTAATTCCACATTGATGATATAATTAATAATTCTGCAAGGCTTAAAAACATGATTCATAACATCAACATCTTTTGATTAATCGAAATCTAGCTTCGAATCTAATAGAAATCATGTAAAAACGACAAAAATTGCAAAAAACGCGTAAATTTTTCTTGATATTTAAATCTGTGTTTTGCGAGGCCCTCAAAAAACAATGCGCCTTAAATCCAAAAAAGATAAGTACGGTCCTGCGGTTTCCGCGTCCGTCACGAAGAAAACTTGAAGTTGCAACGCTTTTCCGACCATTTCGTGAACTTTTCTATCCCTTTGTCTCCCCCTTTCACTCTGGTACGCCCATTATCCTTGGCGACACATACCTGTGTAGTCGACCAAGGTTGATCCGAATTTGCGTGCTTCAGCCGACATGCAAATCAAGCCTCCTCTCCTCTCTTCTCCTTCTTTCATGAATGTCTACCCCTTTCGCGACACAGAGCCGATTGCACGATGTGAAACAAGACGCGCGCGCGTTGCCGGCGGCCGACGTTTTTTTTACCTCGACGCTTCTTCACTTCACTTCACACACAAAGTCACTCGAGTTCATCCACTTTATTGCTCGGCGAGATGCACAACGCGATGTATCATTCGCGGCAAACACCGCTGTCGCTCACGATGACATGGCGCGTATGCATCATGTATCCGCGATCAGTGTACACGCATTACATTCTCAGCCGGCTCGATCGGCCCGCCTGCCTATCGGTTCCCGAGCGTCGCCGTCATTATCACCGTTCGTCGACGCTAATCTTCCTTCGCTCGTCTACCGGTTGCGCACGCTGTTCACCGATTCGTGATTGCGTTCACACGCGACACTCCGGCACATGGCTCAACAAACTCTTGCGGTCGGGTGCCGTCGTCAGGACGCGGGCACGCACGCACGTTTTCCACGAGAGAGGATGCCCGAGTTCCACGCGCGTAACGACACGGCGACCGACTTCCCCGGATAGAGGGAGAAATACCAGCCATGCGCAATAACATGAATTTAGCAGACGCGCTCAGTGACGAAATACTTGTCGCGACAGGAGGCACCGTGCCCCCGAAAAGAGGGAATAATAAAAAAATAACATGGAGATTTGTAGGAAAAATTGTCAAAAATAAAAGTGACTTTTTTTTATCCCCAAATTAGTTGAAAATGTCAAAAGGAATTCTAAATGTTGAAAGGAATTTTTTAATCGACTTAGGAAGCAAAAAAGTTCTTTTATCTGTTAATTTTCCCTCGTCAATCAAATTAGAAAAAGTAGAAGAATAAAGTCTAATAATACTATATTGAAAAAAAAATGATTTTGCACGATTGCAAATTATTTTGCACGTTGACTTTAAAATGCTATTTTGCAAAATAACGACACGAAATACGATATACACTGTGTTCTCCAGCTAGACAGAAATCTAAAATTAGGAGAGAGTAATAATATAATTTTAACGTTGTCGCTTGTTACTTGCACATTTCGACGGTATTGAACGTAATAATTATTTAGTTGTCCCGTCGCACATTAATAGCATCTTTATCGTCGCAATTATTTTTCCTTCTGATTAAAGATAAAACATAACATCATGAAATTTATTTATCGCCAAAGCCAATAATCGACGTTAATTATTATTCTTAAAAATATTTCTGTTACATTCGCAAACAAATGGTAATTCGACTTGCAATTTACAACTAGCTTTCGTAAGCTGCATCCCAGTGAATAAAAAAGTTGCATCTCCGAGTCCCGATAGACAATACTAATTCCACGAATAACACTCGTACCCCGTAAAGAGGAATCTGAGTGTCGAAGAGATAACTCGGAATTCCTGAATACATATTGAACTTGATCCCATCCTTACGGAGCGCAGAAAGATAGGTACGGGGAGGTAGGAGATGGAGGAGAGGTGAAACGTGTGCGACCGATCGGTGGGGTGACGGGGGGAGAGAGAGAAAGAGAAAAAAAGGAGGGATGGGAGCCTCCGCTGGCCGAACGATTTGCCGCGGTCGCGACGCGCCCGGGCATGCAACCTTGAGCGCGGCTACCTTTCGAGAGCGCGCGCGGACGGGAAAAAGTTCGCGCACGCCTTTGCGCAAAAATTAATGAGAATGATTCAACATGGCAGCCTTGCCCGCCGTAAATGTGTATCTCCTCCCTTTCGACCCCTCCTACGCGCGGTCTCACAATTTCGCCGGGTGTCGTTCCCGCGCGTCAGCAATGTTGCAGCGCGGTGAGCGCCGGAGGGATGGGAAAGCGGAGGGAGAGAGAACGAGAGGGAAGAAAAAAAAACAGAGAGAGAGACGGCGCCTCTCATCCCTTGAAATTCTACCAGCTCCCCGTTAGCTGCATTCAGGACAGTTGAAAAATGTCGGCCAGTTTACAGGAAACACCCTAGGGAGCTCGTAAATGAAACCTTTACTTGTGAGAATAGGCTCTGTGATAGGCTAGACAAACCCACCTGTTCCAGAAGTCTTCCCTGTTCCGTCTTCTGAATGGACATCAGGCCGGTGTGAATAGAAGACGAAATAAGATGGGCATTTCAAAACGGAGCGATCGGCAAAACGATACAATAGACAAGCGCACGATTTATTTCTATAACGCTTTGAAAAAGTGTAAAAAATGTGTGCTTTTAGATAATTTTAATATATTTGATTGTCATTGGAATTAATTTATCTGTAATAAAATTTTTCTTTCAGAAATGGATGCTTAAAAGAATTAAAAATAGAAAGTGGAACAATGTGATCGGTGATGAATATTTGATTTCTCTTGGAACATGATAAATGATGATAAGGATAACTGCATATTTATATAAAATTATCTATATAGGATAATTATACTATCAAATAGAAATGAGTTACTTTATGCCATGTATTATTTATTTATCGATTCATACATTTTTAAAAATTGATTCACATTTTCAAAAAACATTTGATTTCTATTAGTACAGGAGTGACGTAAAAACAATAGATCGGTACACAATTCTACGGGACTTTGAAATTGAAAGAATACTGATTACGTGACAGTTTGAACGGTTCCGGCATGTAAAGATGCTCGTCCAGGACTACACATCCACGGAAAACGGTGGATCATTGTAATATTAGAGTTATACAATAACAGACTTTCTACGATGCGTAACACAAGTTGTAATGACAGCCTCGGCTCTGCGCGCAGGCTCTTGCGACGCGAATTTCATTCCCGAGAAAACATATATTACACGAACAAGAAATATCCTTCGTAATATGTTTAGATTAACTTTACCAAGTTTTCGCACCTCGCGCGACACGTCGCGCGTTTTCAGTCGGGAGGTGAAATTCGCGCCGGAACACAAAAATCCGTGTTACGATGTCAAGAGTATGCCGAAATATACGAATGTAGAATACGAGAAATTTATAAATACACCGGGCTGCGAGAGAAACGCGTTCCCAAGCAGTTCGAAAAGTATTTTATAAAAAAATATATCGTGTCAACTGTCAACTGTCCCGCGTAATCTAGGAACGAGCACGTAAGATTGATTGAATCGAGCAAAAATTGGAGAGCTACTCTTTCCCGTCCTACAACTATGTACTCCTGTATTCATACGATGACTTAACACACTGACAACTATTATTCTACGAGTATTAGTTTGATGAAAAAGATCAGCTTTTTTTATTTTGCAAGAGCCACGTATGAAAAAAAATGGGACAATTGTTTTATTCAGCATTTTGACATTCTAAATCCACCTTCCAAAATTTATTTGACAAATAAATAAATAATCGTAAAAAATAGTAAAAAATCTCGGATAAAATTTCACTTGCGAGATTGAAAATATGTTGTCTCGAGCGAGCAATTAAATCGATTCAGATCATGCGTATTTAAGGAAAGGTTTTTTTTTTGTGCGAATTTTAGTGTACGTCGTCAAAGCGTTAAGTCGAATTCTATCCGAAGGAATAGATGAAGTACGTTCTCTACTGTTAATTTTATAATGTATAACGGCACATAAAAAATTAAAACGCATATCCACGACGACCGTCTCGACGATCAATAATGATTGTACTCTGCTCAAGAAGTATTAAGAGATCGCTGCTTCGACTAATTTTCGTACGTTAAACTCTAACGATTAAAGGAGCTGCTAAAATACTATACACAAATGTATTTTCTACTGGCGATTGAACTCAATTAGCGATTTAAAGCCTTCTGTTGAATATAATCATCTGAAAGTAACAGCAACATAAAACTCTATTAAATTTTCAATCGTGTATCAGTGGCAAATCTACATTCTCGGAGGAGTAACACTTCTATAGAACTCTTTTCGAAAAAGAGTTTTTACAAATATATAACGAGTTTATATACTTTTTACTTATTATTAACAGCGTTAACAAATTCAAAAACCATGTGTTTCAAAAAATAAATATCTCTACGTAAAAAAATACAATCATTATAAATTTTCTTTCAATCAATATAATTATATATTAATTAATAGAATAATTGACTAGATTTGAAAAGTGGGAGAAAGAAACTCACAGTTGAAGGATATATATTGTTCCGCGGCTGCGGAACTTAAACTTTTTCAGAGTTTCAATGAGTCCACCTAGGTTTTCAAAATATCGTACATCTTTAGAGACGTTTGTAGGCCTTTGAGGAAGCGATCTCTTAATTATTTTGAGCAGTGCACCAATTTCCTTACTTGGCTACGAGTGTGCGACTCGGCACGCGTCGAGGGTGTCGGGAAGCGGCTCTACCTAACACCGATAGTGCTTAGAAAATAATATGCACAATTACAACGAGCTTCATGTTCGATGACCGGCGCGCCGCTGTTCGCGGCCGGTCGGTTCGAAAAAAACAGATACAACAACGAGCACAAGGGATCGTGAAAAATCGATCGATCTCCCGCGATCTATCATCGAATAAAGCCGCGCGACAATCAATTTACGATCGCGAAGCCTCTCTCGTCGGCGCGCTCATGCACACAGTAAATACGCATAGACGAACACGCAACGTACATACATATACATCTTACAATTCTCTTAATCTCGACATCGCTAAAGTGTGACAATTATTCGGTAGTTTAGGTGACGCGATATTACATTGGCGGAGAAAAATATATATATATATATAGCGCGTTTGGTTCATGTTCGGATGATGGTCCAACGGTCACAAGCAACAACGAGTGAGACTTCAAAATGCTACTTCGATGCCATTTCGTCGATCTCGCGTCGACGCGGAAAAAGGAAAACGGGTAGGTGTGTGTACATGCGCGCTCTTAACGCGCCGTAGGTCCGTTTCCCTTTATATACAACGGAACTACGCCTCAACGAGATTTCGTCCTCGAAGTAATAAGAACGACACGTTCTTGAGATTTCGCTTTTCTGCAGGCTGTCCGAGGAAAAGAGGTGTGTGTGTGTGTGTATCGCGGTTAAGGCGATTATCCCGTTCGCGAAGGAATTTGGAAAACGACTTCCCTTTAGCGACGACTCGACAACTTGATTCGCGAGCGAACGTTCTTGAAACTTCAGGATGTGCGGAGAATCTATGTCTGATTGATTTCATTTTCTTTTTTTTGTTCTCCTCGATTGAACGTTAAATTAGATTCGACATCGCTAAGGAGAGATCGAATTGCAGAACGCTCCAGGACTCGCGAAGCCCTTTAAATCGTAATTATTTCCTTTTCTCGACATCCCGTATTATATCTGCAGCCGCGCGACGCGTATTACATTATACGAGAACGTGCGACGTGTTACAGCGCGCGAGTTAATTAGCGCCGATCGCGGTTATTACGGCGTTGAGTTGCGTTGGGGGATTCATCATCTGCGCCGAATGCAATAAATTACACGCGTCGAAACGCATCGATGGAGCTTCTGCAGAATGGGAAAATGTGAAAGCGACGCTAAATCGCGGCGAGTAATGGCGTCACCGTCACGGAGAGCGCGTGACTTTCGCGCGATTCTTCGTTACAAGTGCAATCGGCGCATCAGCTGCCGGCGATGCTAATACTTAATGAAAACTAAATGCTACGGAATCGACGAGAAGTGATTACAGGTAATCTTGGTCCGCTTGGTCGCGTCGCCATGATTTCGCGTCGTTTCAACCCTCTGTTCCGTTCGAAGGGGACAACATTTCGCGAACGATTTACTCCTCTTCACGCCTCTCGCCAACGCTCAACGGAGTTCCGTTCCTGTTCAACCGCATTGTTTCAGTATCGTCAGTGTCATTTTTCTTTTTCTTTTTAGATATTGAGTCTCGTCTAATATAATTAATTTGCGTGAAAAATTCCAAAATTGGCATTTTCGCCTTCGATACGTGCAAACCGGGCTTGCATTGTGACAGTACGGGTGGCTTCGCACGCAACATTTTCTCCCTTTTTCGTTTCTGAAACTTTTCAAAATTGTCAGTTTTGCACGATTGAGAGAGAAAATCTCAACCTCCGCCGTCACAAGGTAACTCCAGTTTGCAATTTGTACCTTGTTAGACAAATAAGGCGCACATTGAGGGCGAAGTAACAGCGATGAAATAAGCGTGATTATTCATCGGTTGAACTTGGCGAGAGTCTGTGGCAGCTTCACCTGGGTATCAAATGGTTTTTATCCTTTGGATAGATTGTGCGCCGCCTGCGCTGAGAAGCTAGAACTAACATTCCTATGCCAGTGGAATTTTTATTAAACAGCGATAAATTCAATTTTATTAGCTGTATCATAACGCTGATATGGCGCTCGAATTCTTTTATTTGAAATCTAAAATAGATTAAAAACGTTAGCATATTGAAAAGCATATGAAAAATTGATTTAATACGCTGTTTAATCAGTTCATGCCGCAGGCGAGTGTTGAAGAAGCCACTTTGATGACGGCGCATCCAACACAGATTGTCGTCGTACAAATTCTTTCGCATCGCTTCTGCTGGCTTAACACCCTTTCAGACAAATGACACATGAAACTATCTTCTCTTTCTCTCTCTCTCTCTCTCACACACATCGCGCATATTATCTCACGAATACAAATCGCTGTGTCGACCGTGGTACAGTTCTTCGATATTCTAAATCTTTCACTATCATACGCTGCACTTCCGTGTGATTTAACTCTCTATCGCTCTGCATCGAGTCGCATGCATTATTTTATTATTCTCTCGTTCCGTTCGTCCTTCTTGGTTTCGGAATACAGAAGCTTCTTCTTAAGCTCGCGTCTTAAGAAACACAAGTTTATTATAGATATCTTTTTAAATCTGTGAAAAAATAACTCGAGCAACAGAGAGTTAAAAATCCCGCGCACGCTTGCTGCATTTGAGACGGATGTGCATTTGAATAATCATGCAGACATGCTCAATTAGATCGCAGATACAGTGCGAACGGATCCGAGATAATATCCCCGGTACACGTCAAAGAAAGTTCTGCGCCGGTGCGTGCCTTTCGTTTAATCAGCACTACGCATCGCTCCGAACAATATATGCTATAATATAGATCACTGTGGTTTCGCAGCGCCCGAAATTCTTATGAAATCTCGATCTTTTCGATGCTAGGATCTCTGAACTCCGTGGATTAAATGTCCAACTCGTAGAATCTCGAAGAAGATTGCGTGCGATCTGTCGAACGTATGAATACTTTATTCCTTGAATATGTAAACTCATTGCATCGTGAAGTTCCAAAATCGTTGGACCACTTGTGTCCTAAAAATAATTCTAGACACAAACTATTCATTATATAATCTTGCATTCCTGATATCTCTGTTTGCTTTAATCCCAGATTCTAGAATCTTAGTTTCGAATCTTAATCCTTAAGATCTTCAGGGCTTCCGCTTTTCGCGGTACCATCGTGATATAAAGGGACACAACTTTTCTTGACGTATAACAATTACATCGTGCACTCGAGTGCAACTAGAAGTAGGGCATCGCAAGTTCCGCTCGGAACTAAGAACAAACATAGATATACGTACTCGGGCTCGCGTACGCACGCGAAGCCACCAGTGAAAGATTCAGATTCAACCTCTCAGCTTGGTTGCACGAACTGTACAAACTTCCGTTCTCGCTATATGGCTCGTTGCTTACATCTAACGCTGTTTGTTTACCGTTACGTGTGATATCGATAGAGGAATGCGCGTGTCTGGCAATATCATTCTCGTCCGTGCATCTCGACGGGCAAAAATTCATTGTGAACGAACGAAACGCGATGGTCGCCAATGTCGCGACGACAATCATTATCAATCGGGAGCGGTGCGCGTCTCGAAAATTATGCAAATCAAGTTTTTTTTTTTTTCTTTCAATTCGAGCAAGATCGATCGATATCGGAGATTTGCGTGCCGGAAACTCACAAGCGTTATTATTACAATAGAAATCTGTTTTTTTGAAGTAGATAAAATATCCAAGTCCCTCGACTCGGGAGAGACTCGGCTCTAAATAAAAACTTAAACTCTAAGTTAGCAATCCATCGAAAATTTCATTCGCAATCATTGAAACAGAGTATAAAAATTATGGAAATAACTTTGTCTCCGATCAATACTACGCGATATCTTTTTCCATCGCGTTGGCTCGCTCGGCGTATTGTGCTCCCTGGCCGATCTGCCTCGCGACGCTACGCTCATTCCCGTCGACTGGAATGGATTATATATACTCGTATTTCGTTAAATTATGACGACGTTACCCGTGCCACGTCCGAAAGTATTGGAAAGTGCCGTAAACAAACGAATCAACCGACAAACGAACGAACGAGCGGACAAAAACTACGTCGCACCGAGTGCTGCTCCTCTCCTTCTCCGTTCGTGCGCGGGTGTGTGTTATTCGTATGCCGGCCTCTCTTCGTTCTATTCCCCTTAAATCGTGTAAAGTATTTTCATTTTAGGAACTTATAATACTACTCGTGGCCGCCGACTGACCCGACGGCGATTGTATTGTTCGTGCGGGTTCGACGTAAAAGGAAAAAAAAAAACAAAAAAATGCGTCTCCGTGTCGCGTCCGTGTCAAAATCAAAACTATATATAATATATATACACACACAATATACATACTCCGGCTGGTACTCCGATAGGGTTTCTTGTGCGATCTTGGTTTCAGTCGACGATAACTTATAACGCTCCCCTCTTTTCGCCCCCCTCTCTCTC